CACGACATTGTAAAGGAAACTAGTCTGGATTCCTACACCGACCAACATGGTTTCACGACGGGGAAATCGACCGTTAGCGCCATCAGGAGCGTCTACGGAAAAATCGACGCGTCAAAATCAAGACACATATTTGGAACTTTCCTTGATATCACGGGCGCATTTGATAATGTGAAGTGGTCCCCGCTGATATCACAAATGAATAAACTGGGTGCGTCTCTCGGTACAACCAGAATGGTGAACTCGTACCTGCGAAACAGATGGGCCGACCTAAGCTTTGAAGGGATTCATTACCGTCGAAAGCTCGCCCGTGGGTGCCCCCAGGGGTCACAATTAGGTCCAACCTTATGGAAGGTGGCCATGACCCCAATATTTGAAAAAATCCCAGAAACGGTTACAACAAAAGTAGTTGCATACGCAGACGATATCCTGCTAATGATTGGAGCCGCCAGACCGAAAACCGCGTTCAATCGCATAGTGATGAACTTAGATATCCTCACAGATTGGGGCCGCACGTTTGGCCTAGAATTCTCGGCTAGCAAGAGCCAACTATTATCTCTCAAAGGTGGTCTTAAAGCCGGATACAGCGTCAACTTTGGCTCGAGAGATGATGCTCCCGTGATTGAGTCAACGGCCACTGCCAAATACTTAGGAGTGTGTCTCGACTCCAGAAGGAGTTACTGGGAACACATTAAAAGTATCAGCGCCAAATCCAAAGACATGTACGGCCGCATGAGAAGGCTCCGCTCAGCGAATTGGGGCATGGGTCAATTAGCTGCTAGGACCATATACCGAGGTGTGTTCCTTCCTCGCATAACCTACGCCGCGGAAGTTTGGAACACAGGGACAAAACTTATAAAGAGCCAGAAAAAGCTTCTCAGCGCTCAGAGAGCACCTCTACTTGCAATGACGGGGGCATACAATACTGTATCGACTAACTGCCTCCCTGTAGTCGCAGGCTCATTGCCTCTAGACCTTGAGATAAGGCTGCATGTTCTCAAACGTAAGCTCTTGAGTCAAGAGATGTCACCCGCAGACTTTGCTACAGCGGAAAACGGTCTATTTGACGAATGGCAGCTCAGGTACGACACTTTGCCTAAAGGCAGTTGGACGAAAAGAATGATCCCGTCGGTCAGGTTGAGGTTCAACCTGCCGATGACATTGGATCACTATACGACGCAATTCCTAACCGGCCATGGAGATTTCCGCGCTAAGCTCCACAGCTTCAACCTCGTAGCAGACCCTATATGCGAGTGCGACCGCAAGCCGGAGACGGTCAATCACGTTCTGCGATTTTGCCCTAGGACCAGAGGTGCCCGCAACACACTCAAAAGGGCCCTCAGCGATGAAGGCGTTACCTGGCCACCAGCGGATGGTGCCTTCCTAACTAATAAGGCAACGTACGAAGCTCTCGTAAAATTCGCAAAAGTAGTCATGACAAACCGGACTGATCGATAGTGATAAAAAGATAAAGACGACTGCCAGTATAAGGTTAATAAACCTTACGGCCAGAACGCAGCCCCATCCAACGATGGAAGGCACAGACTCGGGGTGTTCCCGATGAGCATGAATGGCGTAAGTGGCAGAAACGGGGGAACACGCCCGAGTGCGTTTCTGGCCTGGGACATGCTCATACGTCAGGGACGCGGAGTTCGGCCCTGTTGCGGGGGCCGTACAGAATTCCGCATCAGTACTCCCTGCTTGTCGTAGAAGGCGACTGAAAGGGAAAAGACCAGTCGGGGTCGGCGCCCGGGGCGCGGACGCACCGAAACCTACGGAGATTAGGGCGTTGGAGGTTTTGACCGCGACCTCATGAAGAGCGGGTCGGTCACTGGGCTTAGCCACCTGGTGACGCCTTGGTGGCGGTGCTCGAGGTTCTGACCGTGACCTCTTGAAGAGCGGGTCGGTCACTGGGCTTAGCCACCTGGTGACGCCTCTGGGAGGCGGAGTCGGGCCCACCGTGAGCCCGTGGTACACGGCCCAAATCTCGGGAGGATCATAAGCTGAGGCATCTCGCCGACGAAGCTTCGTCCGAGCATCCTACCAATGATGTGCCTTACCTGACGGGAGGTGAGATTGGTGCTTCGGGATGTGAGGGGGCCCCTCGGTGTTGAGAGATTAACATCGAGCCCTCACACGTCGGTCGTGGTGGACACTGCCTCGACCGACGGCGGTTTGGTTTCGAAGTGGCAGTTTGCAGGAGCATACAATGTGGTTATAGGCCACATGCTTGGCCAGGGGAAGGCGGCCGAGTGACTGGACCGGGCGGACTCGTACGGCGACAGTCGGCCGGGAAAGCACGGCCCTCCTTAGCGCTCACCCAGCTTATCGTTGGAGCTATATGCAGCGAAGGTTGTCCGTGACCAAAAACGGAAAGCAAAGTGGATAGATTGCGGCCTCACCAGGGTGGCGAAAGGCACCGGTATGCCCTAGCCAGATGGTACGGGCGCGCCGGGGAACTCCTCCGTGCGCGTCCGGTGCTCGTGGTCCCTAGACGACGTGCGGTCGTCAGTCTCCGGCGGTCCTCCGGCCATGCAACAGTGTGGGGAGGGTCCGTCGGTTGGCGGTCGTATGCCTCTACGGCCCTTGACTAGCACCTAGTGCTAACATAAGGTCCGTAGTGGTAGTCGGAAGACTTGTCGTAAGGCTTGTCGGATGACGCCAAACCCGGGAGCTTCGTGTTCAGTTTGTAATAAACCTCATTGACTATAGGTGTGTGGGTCTGAGCACTGTTCCAATATTAAAGGTAAGAACGAAGAAGACTTTGAAATAAAACTCAACTCGGGTTTTTAGGTCGGAAACACTTTTATTATATTAAAACAAACATAAATGAAACACTTAGCAAATTCAAATCGTCTAGCCCGTACTACGATCGACGTTTCACACGTACGACCACAGTACCTACGTCCTCGCCGATTCACTCAGCGACAACGGGACTCCCTCGTGCCTGCGCGTGCGGCGGTGTTATATAGTAATCTTATAGCTGTCTCAGCACATATGCTTCACTGACCTATGTCAATGGTTTACAATAAAAAGTTCCCACCTCTATTACATATATGAAATAATATTTAGACGACTGTCTACAATATACGACAGTCCCCTTTGTTTTTTGGAAAAAATGCCCTCATTTTTTAATAATTTTTTACATACAATTGTCTTATTACTACATTAAATACTAATCTACTTTTACACTATATTTCTGTCTCGGCTTATTCGCGTCGTTGACTATAAAATTATGCTTAAATGTTAATTTTAATTTACTAATTTATTTTTAAATGCGTGTTTTAAACAAGCAATGATATACTAACACAGTATAAAATAAATCCTACAGACTGCCTAGGCAGCGAAAAAATAATTGATGATAGAAACCCAGATAGTAGACTATTCTAACGAAGTAATCTTATACAATTATTCCAACGTATATAGTAATATTCCAAAAAGAATGACAAATGACAATAGCCAAAATTCACGAATTAAACATACAAAATAATTAACACTAATTACAATAATTTAAATTTAAAACAGATAAATCGATATTTCAACCGCCGTAATTATTTTATACTGTATAAAATTAACTCGGAATATAATTACAAAAAAAAATCTCTACCTGTGGCAATATTATGTGAGGATCTAGAAACAATTAGAAACATATAATTCATAAATACATATTAATGATTAATATATTTTTTTTATAATATAAATATAAATTGAGTTATATTTTATACTGTATTATAATGTATGAAATACATACTCAGAATATAGATACAAAAATTTATGTGAATACATATAAGGTTATAATAATTTATTGATTGGCTCCTTGTGGAAAATGTTTTCTTAGAGATTTTTCTCAGTTTGAAGTATAATATTTTTATTTCGACAAATAGCAGTAAATGATTGTTGTTCTTCTACGGGATTTTTTTTTTTTTTTTTTTTTTGTGGTAGTTAATTCTTCTTCTCCTTTGTTTTTGTAAGGTAAGTGTTTATTATCTTGCTTGTTTTAGTTTTTCTTCTTATAATCTGTATATATCTTTTTTTTTTCCTTTTATTTATATATATTCTCGTATATTATTTTTCCAAACTTCTGTTTTGACTGCAGTCTCTTCCTCGTGTCTTCGTATGAATAGGTATTTGCTTATTGTTTTTATAATTATTGGTTTAATGCTTATTGTCTACTTTGAAAATATTATATTCGCACTTTGTCTCAGAAGATTGTTGCGGCTTGTTGTCTGGTGACTCGTTAATTTTTGATTATGCTGAAAATACATTCTATTCTTTTGTTTTTTTTTTATATCTTTTTTTTTTTACATGTTTTTAATATTTTATTATTTTCCCTTAAATGTAATTGTAATATTAATTCATATATATATATATATATAGGTAAAGGGTTAATTGAACTTATACATGACATATACTTAATTTATTTACTTTATTTATTACTGTGTTTAATTGCATATTAATTAATTGTATTTATATTTTTCTAAAAAGGGGCTTATTATTATATTGTTTTGAAAAATTTAATTTTTACACTTACATTAATTTTGTTTAGTAATATTTAGAAAAATTATTTAAGGGACTTGATAAAATGTATAAGATGTTGTATATATGTTGTCGGTAACTTTTTTATTCTGTCTTCGTTGTTGGTGTTTGTTCTCGGGTTGTTCCCCGTTTTCAATTTTTTTTATGTTTTGTTTTGCCTTTTTTATTGCTTTGTGTAGTTTTTTAATTTTTGTTCTCTGTGCGAATCTTTCGATGTCGTTCATCTGTAAATATTTGTGAATATGTGTGTAAGGTATATGTATGTGTGTTGATTTTTTTTTTTTTTTACGATGTTAACCTGAGCTGTGTATATTTAGCTTAATTTTTGTTTAATCTTTTTTTTTTTTTCTGTAGTTAGTATTATTGTATTTGTGTAATCTGATGTTTTAGTAATGACCTGAGCGTGTGTGTTTTTTTTTTTTTTTATTATTTTAATGAAAAATAAATTTCTTCTTTTTACTTTTTTTTTATTGTCTCGCCGGTATCGGTGGGGGATTTAGTAAATCTATTTTTATTAGGACGGGGAATAATTTGTATGCTAAAAATCCTATGGCTATGGTCAGTATTGTTAACCATCCTAAGTATATAATATCGCCAAGGAAGTCATTTATCAGAGGTTGTGGCATTTTTTCTAGGATGACCTTTTTAAAATATTCTTCGGGATCTTTTAACTGTCTGGTTATGTGATAGTTCGGAATTTCTTTGGTCCAGTCTTCATTTAGTATTTCGCTTAGATTTGAGAAGTATATATTTTGATCTTTCTGTGCCTCGTGACCAATGTTTAAAGATTTTATGTTTGTCCATGATGTGGGTAGTATTCTTTGTATAGTGAATTTGTTTAGATTGCTTAGTTCACATGGAAACATTTTGGGAATTAGTACTTTCCCGTTTCTTAAAAGCTCATAATTACATGGTAAGGAAATCTTTATTAGACCTGGGTGTGTGTGGTTTATTTTTAGTTTTTGTGTTTCGGTGTATACATTTTTTTTTGATTTTCTTATCATTAGCGTAGGCTGGGGATTAGTTATTGCAAAAGTATTTACTCCTATTTGTTTAATTATTACTTCTTCATTTTCTTGTTGTTTTACACATTGAAAGTAACAGAACTTGTTTATTTGGCTTAGTGGGAGATTTCTGAATAATGCTTCCACGCATTTTGGTGTTAGCGTGATATCCGAAGTGAATTTAGGGATGTAGCATAAGTCCGTTATTGGAGGGTCGCAGTGCTGTAGTCCCATACCTGAAACTATTCTGTGATCGTCGTTTTCGGTATTTACTGCTACATACGTTTTTTCAGAAAATATTAGGCATATAGAATCTTGAAATTTAAAATGTGCCGGGATTTATTGAAATAGTTTCCAATTTGTCGATTTTTCTTTAATTGGTATTTTTAATTTAATTAAGATTTTTGATTTTGAAAATTGGCATTCAACAATTGGTAAATTATAATATGAAAAAATATTTTCTAATTTGATTACTAATTCGTATCCGTCTTCCATTAGTAGTTTTGAAAGTTTGTTCAGGTCGTAAAATAAAACTTCGGTATTGATCACTCGTGGAGGTATTTTGCCTAATTTGCAGTGTAGCTGTGTACTGGAGTCTCTTTCATAATTAATAAATCTTTCCAAGCTGGTAGCAATATTGAACATTATTTCTTGCGTGCCTTGTATTAGATTATTATAGTTAATTTTTTCTAACATCATGTTGTCCTTTTCTTCTTTGACAAAGTTTTTAAAATTGTTTTTTAATAATTCTATTCTATTTCCTGTGGTCATTGTGTAATTATTTAACTGCGAGGTTATCTGTGAAAGGTCCTTGTGGTCAGAGACAAAGATATCTTTAAGTTTTTCTGCCTGTTCAGCTAATTTTTCTTCATTATTATAAAAATTTTTAATTTGTTTATCCGTTGCTACATTGCAACAGAAGTTGTAGAAATCTCCTATGAATTGTATTCCTCTTTTTGACCTATTTTTAGTATTGAAGGCGTTAGCGCTCTTTAGGAATTCCATTGTATCGATGTCGTTATCATTTATGTTTTTGTTTATATTTTTTAGTAGCGTAATTGATTGTAGTACGATACTACAATAGTTATCACGTTTATTTTTATTTTTGCAGTATTTTTCTATTTCCCAAGTGTCTCCGAAATTTTTTATATTATCATTTACCGTGTCTTGTGTGTATATGAGTGGTATACTTTTGTCGTACATTATGGTTTCTTTAATTTCATTGAAAAATGCCCCAGGTGATACTGTAATTTTTGTGTCTTCTCCCGTTCCTGTTGTGCCTTCAGTTTTTGTTGTAGATAACAATAGCAATAATATCAGCATCTAGAAACATGAATCGTATTGTAATTTCTATTTTTAAATATTTATTATACTATTGTATTTTATATTCTTATTTGTGGTTAGTATAATATAAGAGTGCCAAGGTGTTTTGCCTAGTTTTCGTTTTTTTTTTTTTCCTGTGTTATACCTACGTCTCTTGTCGGTGATCCCACGGTTGTGCGTTTGTTGTGTTTTTTTTTTTATTATTATTATTATTATTATAAAAATTCATACTGTTGCTAAATTTCTTGTTGGCGTTCAGGAATCATATTTTTTGTAGCTCTTGTTGTTTTTTTTTTTTTTCTTGTAAACCTATCTTGACTGCGTGTTGGGATCAGTATTGTGGTACAGTTCTTCCGAGCGACATCTCGATAATTTCTTTCTCTTTTTTTTCCTTTGACTCAACATGGACCCGATAACTAAAACTTATGTTTTAAAAAATGGTGCGTATTACCCTCTTTTTTTTTTATATATATTTTCGATTAATTACAGTAGGGTTTTTTTTTTTTTTTATTTAGTGAGAGGCCAGCCCACCATCACGTTGGAGGTCGTGTGGCCGGAGGGTTTTTCTCCGCCAACCGATGATGTTGTAATTGCCGCATTGGTAGAGGAAGATGGTGACCGTTTTGGTTACACTGACGAAACAGATTCTGATTAGTGTCCAAAATATGTTGTCTTGATGAAATAAATCTGTTTTTTTTTTTTTTTATTTCCTCTTGGGTTTTTCTTTATTTTTTTTTATTTTTAATTTACAGGTTGTAATTTATGTGTTTTTTTTTTTATATTATTGGGTGAGTACATTCTTTTTTTTTTATTATTAGTATTATTATTTATTTATTTAATTTGATTCTTCGTGGTATGGCTTTAGTCTATCTACGTGTATAGTATCCGTCGTTTCTTTTCCATTTAGTGTTAATGCAATTTTGTAATTTACGTCCGAAATTTTTTCTAAAATTTCAAAAGGGCCTCTGTATTTGTGCGCCAATTTTTTTGTTTCTCCTTGTTTCTGGAATTTTATTTTTACTAGCACTTTTTGGCCGGGTTGGTATTCCACTTCCTTGTGGTTCTTGTCGTACTGTTTCTTTTGCTTAATTTGTTCTGCTTCTATTAATTTTGGTAATTCTTGCCTAATTTTTTGTAGTTGTATTATTTCTTCGATTCTATTATGGTCTGTTTCGGGTGGGATGATTTTGTTGTCTAGAGGTTGCGTTGCCTCCGTGCCGTACATTAGGTAGAATGGGGAGTAACCAAATCTTGCGTGTGGGTGTGTATTATACGCAAATATAATCATTTTATAATATAGTGCCCAATTTTTTTGGTTATTGTCGACGTAGTGTGTTAAGGCGTTGCATATAATTGTATTCATTAATTCGGTCATTCCGTTGCTCTGGGGGTGGTAACTAGTCGAAAAAATTTGAGTTATTCCTAATTTTTCACATATGTTTTTTACTTCGGTATTTTTGAAATGTGTACCTCTGTCGCTGACGAAGTATTTTGGTGTACCGTAGGTAGTTATTATGTCAAATAAAAAATCGATGGTCGCTGCTGCGTCTGCGTTTGTAACAGCCTTTGCAAAAGCCATTTTGGTCGCGTTGCAAGTAGCCACTATTAAATATTTTTTACCTTTTGACATTGGTAATGGTCCTAAATAATCGAAACATAGTCTAGACATGGGTTTTGTGTCTGTTAACGGAATAGGTTGTAATAAACCTGGCTTTTTACCATTTTGGTTTTTTGAAAATTGACATGACGCACATGTTTTTATGAATTTGTTTGTGTCTTGTATCATTGTCGGCCAGTAATATTTTTTCTTTAGTCTTGCTAATGTTTTGGTGATTCCGAAATGTGCTGATAGTGCTGACTCGTGGTAAGATTTTAGTACTATATTAACTAAATTTTTTGGTATTACTAACAAATTTTTGACTCCGTTCGGTGACCAATTTTTAAAAAATAAAATATCGTTTCCAATTAGGAATTGTCTAGACTTTCTTTTGTATTTTGAATTATTATTTTCTTTTATTGCTGATATGATGCCTTTGCAAAATTCGTCGTTTAATTGGTTTTCTTTAATTTTTTCTATATTTATTGTGTCAAAAGTTATTTCTTCTGTCTCTGTGGTTTCAAAAATATCTTTTACTTGTAACGTGTCTACTGGGTATCGTGATAAGCAGTCCGCCGCTGTGTTCCAAAGGCCGGGTCGGTGTTTAATTTCAATGTCGAATTCTAATAATTTGAAAATAAATTTTGTTATTCGGGACGATGGATTTTTCATTGTTTGGTAATATTGTAGACTAGAATGGTCGCTAAATACTATTACTTTTCTGCCTAACAAATATTCTTTAAAATAGTTCACTGCAAAAACAACTGCTGACATTTCTAATTCAGTGGTAGTGAAGTTCCTTTCACCCCCCTTTAATTTCCTCGAAGCGAAAGCTATAGGGTGTCGTTTCCCATCTTTGTCGTTTTGTTCTAAAATTCCCGAGAGTCCTTCTAGTGATGCGTCCGTGGTTACGAAAACTTGGTGTTCGTCCTCAAAATGAGCTAGTACGGGGGCCGTTATTATGGCATTTTTTAATATATTAAATGCATTATCTTGAGAGCTGTCCCAATGAAATTTATTTTCCTTTTTTGTTAGATCGGTGAGTGGAGTAGCAATTTTCGCAAAATGTTTAATATATTTCCTGTAATAACTAGTTAGTCCTATAAAAGCTCTTACGTCTTTAATTTTGGTAGGTATTGGAAAATGTTTTATCGCCTTTATATTTTTTTCCAACGGTGTTAGTCCTTTATTTGATACTTTATGCCCTAATAATTCTATTTCGGTACCTAATAGTACGCATTTGCTAGTTTTTAATTTTAATCCGGCTTCGTCTAGTCTTTTGAATATTTCTTCTAGTCTGTATAATGCTTCTTCAAAGTCGTTTCCGTAACAACATATATCGTCCAAGTATGCTATCATTGTTCTATATAAAAAATCACTAAATAAATTGTTGATAACTCTTTGAAAGATCGGGCCCGAGTTTTTGAAACCTTGAGGAATTCGTTTAAAATTGTATAGACCGAAATCCGTGATAAAGGCTGTCTTATCTTGGTCCTCCCTTTTTACCGGAATCTGAAAATAACCTTGGCAAAGGTCTATAGAACTGTAGTATTTTGCTCCTTCTAAGCTTCTAAAAAGGTCTTGTGATCTAGGTATAGGGTGTTTGTCACTAATTGTTTCATTGTTTAATTTCCTATAATCTACTAGAAATCTGTATTCGCCTTTCTCCTTTTTCGGAATTAAAAATACTGGTGCCGCGTAATTACTTCGGCTTGGTTCGATAATGTCGGCTTCTATCATTTTATTGATTAATTTCTTCAATTTTTCTTTTTGAATTGGGAGTGTTCTGTATGGTGGCTGGAATATGGGTTTGTCGGATTTTAAGTTTATTTCGCAGGGCTCCACATTTGCACACCCTATGTTTAATGGGTCGGATGTAAATAAATGTTTAAACCTTTTTATCAATTTACATGCTTTTACGCGTTGATCAATATTTAGCTCCTTGGAAATGTTTATTAGAGCTCTTGTTAACGTCCGTTTTTTTACCGTATACCGGTCCGGTGTAAAACGGATGGTTTTGTTGACGAAACGTTAAAATAACGGAGATACTTCCGTTGCCTGTAATATTTTATCGATTATCAGCTGTTAATTAAATTTAGTCAGTTCTAAACAAGAAGCGGCTGAGTATAGAGTCTAGACAAATGTTTACTAGAAAGAAAAAGGTTATAATAGCGTACTATTTGTACAAAAAAATGCAGCAGAAAGAAAAAAGAAAGAAAAAAATGTGGGTACATCCTATTTTATTGGAAAGAAAAAGATATGGTATTTTCTACACTCTTTTTGAAGATTTAAAGAAAGACGAAACAAAGTTTTTTAATTTCTTTCGAATGAGTCAAGTAACATTTCAAAAATTATTAACATTAGTACAAGATAAATTAAGGCATGATGATACTAATATGCGTGAATCTATTACACCTGCTGAACGATTGGCTGTTACCTTAAGGTATGTATGAATAATATAATTTTAAAAATATAAAAATTATTATTATATTTTAAGAATATAAAAATATAATATCGTCCCCATTTAGGCAAAACACACCAAGCCCAAAAATTGAGAATCAGCTTTCCCAATTTCAAACTTTAAATGTAGCTATATGGCTGTATGCCAAATGTAACCAAATTTGTTTTTTGCTAGTTAAAATTGATTTTTCTTTAAGCAAGCAAAGTAGTTATTCGTACAAATTACTAGGTTAGATTTTGACTTTTGCATAGTATATATGGACTTGGTGAGTTTTGCAGGTATTTAATTGTTGATTTAGCACACTATAAATTTATCAAAATTAATTCATTTGCACAAAAATAGTTATATTATAATATTATTGATTATTTTATTATAATTAAAAACATATATATTTTTTTAACAAATATTATTTATTCTTAATTATTATAAGCAATGAATGAATTAATTAATTAATGATTCGTAAAAAACTGGTGATTTTGAAAAATCGAAATCGTAATCGGAAACGGCTGATTGACTTTCGGCTGTGTCTAGACTGTCGATTGATTCTGGCGAAGGTTCAGCAGTCGAAGAAAAGCTCCTTTTACCATTTGTTGTCATATATTGATGGACTTTGTTTGATTCATTTGCATTATAATTACGATATATGCCACGTGGATCTTCATTAATGTTCGGTGCAACATGAGATGGATGTGATAATTGAAATTGCGCGGGTTGACTTAGATTTTGATAATAATTTCTTGGTACATCATGCTGTAAATATGGCGTCTGAGTTCTTTGAGTTATGTTTCTCATGGCTTTTATGACCTCATACTGAAACTCAACTATATCAGCATCATTAAATTTTTCAATGGTCGGGGCAATTCCGCTAAAAAAAGACATAATTCTACTTTGATCATCTTTTTCTACAGATTCGACTAATCTCGTTATTCTTTTTTCCAACTGATCTTTTTCTGTTACTTGTTTCTTCATTTTCTTTTTTTGAACTGGACTTTCAGATACAATTTGATTTTCTTCAACGTCTTCATCAAGAGGCATATTTGTTTCTGTCGGTCTATGACCTACAATTTTATTTAAAAACTGCATTTGCTCATAAAATTTGTATTTTTGAACGGGTTTTGCTGCTGAACCTGACTTGTACTCTTTAATTTTTTTATCACATCTCATCCAATTATCTCTTGCATTATTCCATTTTTTTATAACATTTTTTCCTAAAATTAAAAACAAATAAAAATATTAAAAAATAAAAATAATGTAAAATCTAAATTATAAAATTAAAATTAAATTAATATTTATATTATAAACTTAAAAATATTATTTTTACAGGTACTTGGCATCAGGAAGTACATTTACAGATCTTCAATACACATTTAGAATCGGAATAAAAACAATAAGCTATATTGTTCGAGAAGTATGTACAACAATATGGACTGAATTGTGTAATATATATATGAAAATTCCATCCAAGGACGACTGGTTAATGATAGCTAATAATTTTGAAAGCGCTGCAAATTTTCCTCTATGCTTAGGAGCCATAGACGGTAAGCATATTAGAGTCATAAAACCCGAACAAAGTGGATCAATGTTTTTAAACTACAAACACTACTTTTCCATCGTACTAATGGCCGTGACAGACACTAACTATAATTATATTTTTATCGATGTTGGTGCATACGGAAAAGAATGCGATTCAGCGGTATTCAAACAAACACAATTTTGGAAAAACTTATTAAATGATAGATTGAACATACCATCATCTACAAATAAACTAGGAACTGATTGTGATCTACCTTACGTATTCGTTGCTGACGAAGCATTTGTACTACATGAACATGTACTTCGACCGTTTGGTGGTCATCAACTCGATGAATTAAAAAGTACATTCAACTACCGTTTGACAAGAGCAAGACGGTATGTTGAATGTACATTTGGAATAATGGCGAATAAATGGCGAATTTTACATCGACCATTAAATGTATCTACGGATTTAGCAGTTGATATAGTAAAGACTTGTTGTTTGTTGCAAAATTTTATTCACAAAGAAGAGGGAATTATTAATAGTATATCTAGCGATTCAACTACTGAAAATCTAAACTCCGATCTACGCCAATTACCTCGTTCAAATTCGGTAAGAGGTAGCTTAACATCAAATATGATTAGAAATAAATTTGCTGAGTACTTTGTGTCACCAGAAGGGAGATTACCGTGGCAGAATCAGTATATTTAACGAAAATAGGGAAAAAAATAATATGTGTTTAATAAATAATAATGAATAATGAATAAATAATTAATGTAAACTTACCAAATTCGTTTTTTTCTTTATCAGATAATGTATCAAAACTTGGATGTATCATTTTGCAGATGTCCATCCATGCCGTAAAATTAAGCTGTTTAATTTTGTAACTTTCTGAAGTTTTATCCCAAAGCACAGGTCTATTTTCAACCAGGGAAATCAGCATTTCAATATCGATATCAATATCGATATTCATTTTTAGGTTTTAAGTTTGATTTTAATTTGAAAATTGAAAGAAAAACGGAGTGAATACCGACGTTGTCAACACACTCGTATAGACTGGCGTGGTTCACTGCAACGTGCCGGCCCCCGGTGTGCCGAGGGGACAACGTACGGCGATCCGTTTCTTATCAGCTAACGGATGGTTTTCCCGTGCATAAACAAACAAATATACTAATCTATGCAGCACTGTGCAACGGATAACGGTCCGTTGTAGAAAACGGACCGTTGTCCGTCGCCGTTAACAAGAGCTCTTATTGTGCCTTGATCGTCTTTTATTTCAGTTTCATTATTTTGATTTTTACACATAATGCTTCCCGTAGCAAAAATATTTATGTTATGATTTCTATTGTGTTCGTACCATATTTCGTCCATATTTATAGAATTGTTTTCGATTTTTATGTTTTTATTTTTAGAATTGATTATTATGTTGTATTTAATATTGAAATCGTTTCCTAATAGTAGTTTACAACTTAGTCCTTCAATGACGTATACTTTGATTTTATATTTGAGTGTGTTGATTGTAATTGTTATTTCTGTTGTTCCTCTTTGTATTAGTTCATTATTATCTGCGCCTGTTATTTTTATTTGTTCTTTGGGTTTAATTTCTTGTTTATTTTTTACTAGGGAATAATCTATACATGATAGATTCGAGCCTGTGTCTATTATTGCATTTTGTTCGTTGCCGTCTAGTTCTATTTTTATGGATAGCACTCTTTGTTTCCGGTCTGTGTCTGAATCTACGCTTGTATTTTGATTTTTGATTTTAATTTCGTCTTTGTGTTGAATTAGCTGATTTTTGGTTTCTATGGCTTTCTCGTCTTCTTGTATGGGCCGATTCCGATATTCTCTTATGTAGTTTCCGCATATTTCACAAAACATAACGTTTCCCCCCTCACTCTTCTTTATCATCGTGGTCGTCTAATACATCCTTGGTTGTAGACAAATATTCGCAGTCTTGGCAAAATTGTGAGTACCATATTGTTGATTTGTCAGTTTTAAAATTGTTGCCAGTTTTATTTTTTTCTATTGTGTTTTGTTGTGATAATTTTAAGCGATCGAAACATTCGTATAAGAAATGGTCTAAATTTTTTCTACAGTATTAAAGTCGGGAAAAACTGTGTTTATTATTATGTTATTAAATTGAAGTGGTTTATATATTTTTGTGATAATTCCTGGTGTCCAATTATAATCTTTTTCGAATATCCCTATACTTTTCCTATTTGATTTCCAGTATATTATGGAATTTGTATGTTCGGAATCTTTGTGTATTAAATATAAATTTAAATTAAATTGGGCACAGATAAATGCTAGATCGTCATTTTTAAAATGGTAGCCAGATTTGCAATTAGGAATGCCGAGCATATTTAATAATTCTACCGTCTTTCTATATATACCATGTTGTTTCAAGCATATTCGTAGTGCGTGGGCACCACAATCATTGTCTCCGGGTACGTCTTTCGTTTTTATGAATGAGCCAGCTATTAGTGCGATTTCGTTCTTTAAACTATCACTGATCGTGTTATTAAAATTTTTACCTATCGTAATATTAGTAGTTTGGGAATCATTGTTTTTATAATGTTTATTTTGTTTTTCATTGTCGTTGCTCGGCAGTAGGCATATTAAAATTTTTATTTGCGTGTCTTGAAAAATAAACTTAATCATGGTAGAAATAACGTTCCAATCCTTTTTGTCTTGTCCAGTGCAAATTTTGGGTAATGCTAAGGTAGTAATATTATTTTTTATACAAAATTGCCTAGTATTAGTTAATGTGTTAAAAATGTTAGTGTATGCTGGTTTGTCGTAATATTTATTTTTTGTTATGAGGTATAGAATCCATTGTCTTCCGTTTTTCAAATAAGCAATTTCGGTCGGTTTTTTTTCTTGGTCTATTAAATTTTGAACGCTGTTAAATTTATTTCTAAATTGTAATGCGATCCCCTTCGACATGGTGAGGCATTGGCTTGTGCAATGGCCGATTGCGATATCATTTGGTAATGAAAAAATATTTACCGTCTGTTCACTGTAATCGCATAGGAAGTCGGTTCTATCGTTATTGCTGAGTAGGAATTTTTGGAATTCATTTAATGGGTTCAAACTACTTATTGTTACGATGTTTTCTATAGATTTTTCGTCATCGTCGTTTATTTCATTAGTTATTAATTTATTTGAATTTGTTGATTTGTACCAATTTTCTACAAAATGTATATAATTATTTTTCTCAGTCTGCTTTTCTTTGTTAAATTTTGAGTTGTCGGCTTTTGTATAAATATTATTTGTTCCCCGAGTAAGATATTCCGATTTTTCTCTTTGCTCGGGTGCTATTCGTTTTTTGAAAAATTGCAATCGCTAGCATAGTGTCCTTTATTATTCCATTTGTAGCATGTTATTTTTTCTCTTCTGTTAAATCCTTCCGGCGTCGTGGATCTTGAATATCTTTCTCTGCTGTTTACCCTACTGTACTGTTTCCTACTTATGTCATTTTCACGATTTCTGTTCTTATAACTATCTCTATCTCTGGATCTGTCGTAGGAGTTTTCCCTATTTCTTGAGTTAGACCTATCTCTATTATTGCTCATTTCTCTACTGTTATTTCTATATTTATTGTTATTGTATCTATCTCTACTGCTTTCTCTGAGCTTATAGTTGTTGTACCTATCGGAATAAGGACCTTTTTCCCTATAATTGTTCCTGCCTTCGTGATCTGTTCTTCCTGGATATGGACTTTGGTCTCTGTATTCACGTTGTCGTCCTCGGTAATTTGTTTCTCTATTATAACTTCTGCTCCTATCTTCATTATAATTATAATTTTTATTATTATATCGATTATCTATTTCTTGATCATCGAAGTTTACCGATTTATTTCTTCTTCCTGTAATGTTGATTTGTTGAATATTTTCCCGTAACTGGTTCATCTCCTTTTTGTATTCTCTATCTCTTTCTATTAACTGTCTTTTTATTTCATCGATTTCTCTTCCTTTTTCTTTTGTTTTTTGGTTTAGTTGAGATACATGTTCATTAAGCATTTCTGTATAATCACTTAATTCTGGTCCTCTGTTATTAATTCGAAATTGCATCAATTCAAATTTTTTTAAATTTTTCTTTAGTTCCTTTAGGTTGCTATTGTCGTGTAATGATATCGCATGTAAGACTGTCTCTTTTAATCCCTTTAAAATATAAGTGCAAATTTCTTCTTCCTGCATATTTTTATTTAGTTGTCTACATATATTTTCTATTTCTGTTACAAAACTCATTATAGACTCTGTATCTCCTTGACGTCTATTTTCTAATCTAGTTTTTAAAATTGTATTGTAACCCATTGGTTGAAATTCGTCGTGAAACTCCTGTTTCAAATTATTCCATGCCCAATTATTTTGTTTGTCTTCCAAATTTTCCAAAAATATACTTGCTGTACCTTTTACGAATATCGATAAAAATCTTGCTTTATCTTCGTCCTTCCAACCGTTTACATCTGCTGCTTTTTCGTATTGTTTGAAATATTTTCTTACGTCCTCATTACCTGAGAACTGGTCTGGTCTAATCATGAGAATTTTTTCTGTCATTATCTGTGTTTGTTTGTTTAACGGAATAGAATGAATTTCAGAGTTTAGGTTATCTCCGTTTTGATTATTTATTTTTTTTTGCTGTGTTTTTGTTTTTGAATTTTGGTTTTTCACTTGTGTTATTAGAATCAATAGTTGTTGAATTATTATGATTTATTAATTTATTTTCAATAATCTCACTATTTTTTAATTATGTTTATCTACAATTAACCTACTTTTTACTATTGGTAAAATCCCTACAAATTTAAATTATTAAGAAGTTTGAAAAAAAAAAAAAATACTACTAGATTAATTATAATACTATGTTATTGAATAATAAAAAAAATCCTATATAAATTTAAAAAAATCTAATATACAATCCTAATATTAATACGTAAGTATATCACTTAAATTAAAATATTTTTGCGGTTATAATTATATCGAATAAAAATTTTGAAAAGTAAAAGAGAGAAATAGAGAGAAAAAATTGAACTAAAAAAAAAATATCCTATTTAAATAGTTTCTTTAAAAAAACCTAATCTACTTGTTTAAAACTTAAATTAAAATTTTGCGGTTATTTAAAATCGAAAAAAAATTTTGAAAAATTATTGAACTAAAATTCTATTTAAATTGTTTTAAGAAAAATCTAATCTATAATCCTAATATAAGTATTAAGTATATTACAAACCGTTGCTCACCTTGGCGTATACTTGTAGACGCACGGTTGCAAAAATTGTACCACGCGGCACAAAACTGGTGTCTTGTCGGTCAGACGAAAATCGAACGCGTATGTGTTACTCACTCGGTATACACACGCACAAAAATTGCGTTCTGGGTTTACACTGCACCCAAAACACAAAAGGTATATTTTACTTTAACGGAAAAAATCACTAAACTCGCTCCGGGTTTTACTATCCGAAACGTGCACAATTGTTGTACTTCACTTGTACCAAAAAAAAAAATGGTGTGTCAAGGGAATCTCTCCCAGACTACACGTAAAAACTGTTGTATTTCTAGTACGTAAACACTTTCAAAAAAATTAAACTTGCCAAGGTTGAGGTACCAGGGCACAAAAAATCAAAAAAATGTCTCCGACCGTGGGTAAGTAACGCCGTTGGGCGCCACTCTGTGGTATCACCCGTATTGGATAATACGCGGTAAACCAACTTTATA